AATCTCATTATTAAACTTTATAGTATATTAGTAGCATGTAAAATTCAATCTTGTCTCATTCCCCGTTGGTAAAGCATGTTTCTGCCCATGGGCAGACAGGCAATCTGATTTACTAATGTGTAGGTTCTGCATCACTAGTAAAGCATACCTCTATGTAATATACTCAGCAAGTTGAGTTGCCTATACGCCTATGGGCAGGAGCACGCGTTACTGGTAAAGCAGAATATGATTAGATCGCAAGTGTGGTGGAGAATAAGACAAGAGAATTCTAACATAATGTAAAATTTTATAAAATATGTATTTAATAATTAATGAATCCATCCCCAGAAAACGTCAAGAAGATTTTTCTCAAATGGAATTTACGAAAGGATGTTTGGAACAAAATTTGGAACTTTCAAATTAACGTATGGTTTACATCCTGTTTATCTGCAACGAACAATTTTCCAAGTCTGTCAGGAGCTATTGCATATTATATGTAATAAACACAAGTAATATTATATTTTATTCCTCCCGCAAATTATGTAATTATTATGTATTTTTTTACGAAATACATTTTCAGGTATTATTGAAAATTGGTGGGACTCGTCGACTTTATCTCAACTGTCTAGACTATTAAAAACTTTATTTTTGAAAACTGGACTAGTTTGGTTAATTTGGAACATTTTCATTTGAAACAAAATTTGGATTTACATCTCTGTTTAACTGCAACGAATTTGTTAACTAAGTTAGGAAACAATAATGAAAAAATTTGTTAACTAGGCTAGCAAATGATAATGACAACCAATTTATTCGATAACGATATCCATTTGTTTATATATAAGACATAAATCATGAAGGTTAGAAAGAGAAACTAATTGTAAGATGCACATTATAAAGTTTTATTATTTTACAGTAATATGAACAGTTACACGCACTCTTTTTATTTCTTATACATTCATATAATAATTATACTATGTTTATAGTATTCTAAGGGCGACTGTTACCAACGCCGATTAACTCAATCAGCAGTCCTAATATATACAGAAGTTATCACAGTTAAGTAGGAACGCAGAAATGGAAGTATCCCAGCTAACACAAAGTTACATGAACGTACCCGTTAGTTGTAATTTCCCACTCAACAATATAACTATAATATAACACGTGCGTTATATTGCAGTTATATTGTTGAGTGGGAAATTACAACTAACGAGTACGTCACATGTAACTTTGTGTTTGCTGGGATATCACGAAGATAATAAGAACGATACAGACTTACTATTTGCTTTACTGCTGATTGAGTTAATCATCCATTAATTTAATCAGCGTTAGTAACAGTCGTCCTAAGTAGTCTCAAATAATCTTGCCTTGCATTAATTGGCAGTTACACAAACTATTTTTATTTCTTATACATTTACGTTACTGTAAAAAAATTCTTATTCATATTACTATGAAATAATAAAACCTTATAATGCATCTTACAATTAGTTTCTCCTTCTAATCTTCAAGATTTATGTCTTAAATTAATCTAATCTCCTTTTATTAAATATTGAGTTATAAATAAATGGAGATCGTTATCGAATAAATTGCTTGTCATTATCATTTCCTAGCCTAGTTAACAAATATACCAGTTTATAATCCCATCTCCGTTCGATTTTCTTTTATTAAATATTAATTACAAATTTTTTCATTATTGTTTCCTAGTTAACAAATTCGTTGTAGTTAAACAGAGATGTAAACCATATGTGAATTCGACAAAGTCCCAAATTTTGTTCCAAATGAAAATGTTCCAAACTGGTCCAGCTTGTAAAAATAAAGTTTTTAATAGTCTAGTCAGTTGAGGTAAAGTCAACGAGTTCCACCAATTTTCAATAATACCTGAAAATGAATTCCGTAAAAAAAGCTTTATACATAATAATAATTAAATAATTTGCGGGAGGAATGAAATATAATATTACTTGCGTTTATTACATATAATATGCAAAAGCTCCTGGTAGATTTGGGAAATTGTTCGTTGCAGATAAACAGACATGTAAACACATACGTGAATTTGACAAAGTTCCAAATTTTAGTCCAAACATCTTTTCGTAAATTCCATTTGAGAAATATTTTCTTGACGTTTTCTGGATGGATTCATTAATAAGAGGTTTACTTTACCACAAGGAAACCTCGACAAGAAATGCATCATGAAACGTAACTTTAAATTACAAATTATATAATAATCATCGATTAAGGTTAATCGAGTTGATGATATCCTTTGTATATAAGATTTAATTTTTTCTTCAAAAATATTCTTATAGTTCGAATTAGGGTTAACCGAGTTGATGATATCCTTTGTATATGTGATCGTATACAAACTTATCTTTTTAAAAAAAGGTAAAAAAAGCGCTAAGCGTGTATGTTTCTCGGGTAGAACCACCATTTGGGCCGGTTTCATCAACGCCAATTATTTAATCAGCCGTGAAACTGATCACTAATCGCGTTTGCTGTTTAGTAGAATTGAGCACTTACGGTTGACAGTGAATCACCGATTAGAGTTAATCGAGTTGATGTTTTTTCTTCAAGGATATTCTTATAATGATATGTATAAAAGATTTGATATCAACAAAACTGGCGCCAAGTTAAATTCCATGTAATTCGTGCGGATACCAAATTATATAAATAATATTAACTTTGATGATATCATTCCTATAAAAGATTTGATATCAAGAACTGGCGCAAAATTAAATCCTATTTCACTCTCTCTCTTTATACCATGTCAAATTATTAATTTTATGATATGTATCATTTGTATAAAAGAATTGATATCAACAACTGTGGCGCCAAGTTAAATTCGACTATCAAAATGAAAAGTAAAACTCAAGTGATACTATCTTTATTATTTACTTAATCCAAATGGTACTATCTTTAATTTTTATGCAACGAAACCTAAGTATACGTATACTTATTGAAGAATCTTCCTATTCCAATCCAAATGGTTTAAATTCCTCTTAAATGAAATTATTATATCACATTTCATTCAAAAACATTCCCTCTTTCAACTAAAATAATGGTTATTTAATTTTCCTTCAAAACATTATACAAAATATTATCACAAAATTGCGTTTTATTGCTCAATTTATTTAAGTGTTATCACAAAAAATTAAACAATTTACCGTATAAAATGAAAAAATTTAATTTAAATAGAAAAATTTTTTATGTAAAAACACTTGGCGCTGCTAAATCGAATAAGAAAAACTATAAAAACAATTTAAAATTAGAATAGTAATTTATAAATATAAGTAATAAATGTAATTATATTTTAAATGTAATAATAAAAGTAATAATAAATTTAATCTTAACTTTACGCTGAATAAGAATAAATTTCATTATTTATTTCTCTTTTATAACGTATCTTTACAAATCTAAATTTATTTTTCTCAGACTTAAACTTAATAGTATTCACAACGTTCATAATTTACACGACTCTATAACTCAATCGCATATATACACACACTAGATACTTTAACTCTCATTGGGAATGCTTCTTATTTTTTTTATTTTTTTAAATATTCATATTTTTTAATATGATTCTAATTTTCCTTATTAATATATTATTTTTCTAAATATTACATTTTTAAATATTACATTTTTATTTTTCTTATTTTTCTAAATATTACATTCATATCTTAGTACTATGTTATTATATCGAGATCGAGATCTAGCAGCGCCAAGTGTTTTTACATGAAAA